ACCAATACTTCATGTTACTTTAGTTTTTCAATATGTTTATGCTTTCATGTTGTTCCTGGTTCTTCTACTTCTTTAAAAATAAACTATAAACAATTAATTTACCATTAACAACATTGACCAATAAAGCAAGAACAATAAGTATGTTTAAGTTAGAAATTGAATTGTTTTTCAACTATTTCTTATTATTGACTCAAATAATTTTCACTTTAAGCTAGTTTTTCTCCATGTTTTATTTCTGTATTATTGTTGAAAGTTGAACATAAGGTAAGTAATAATAACTTGATTGCGATTATATGCCCAAAATAAAATATCTTCTTATACAAACTTCAAAATTAATATTTTTTGAAAGTTTTTTATAATAAAATTACAAATTTATCAATACAAGCTCCAATCTTCAACGTAATAAGTAAATTTATGTATAGAAAATCTTACTTTTTGATAATAAAAAATCTTATTCAAATAAAATGAGTTTCTAAAATCATCTAACAAATCTTTTTTTCTTTTGAAAATTATCATCTACAAAAGGAATTTTATCGAAATTAGAAACATGTCTATGAAAGTTTAGCCATAAACGAAGTTTTTAGTTCATCATTTATCTTACAAGCCACGTTCTAAATAGACATGATGTCTTTATAAGTTTGCAAAAATAGATCTAGGGTTTTGTTCGTCTTGAGGTAAGTCTTTAAGTATGTCCCTCTCTTCTCCAGATTTTTTATTTGTGCCCTAGTAATTTATCCATCCCCTCAATTAAGTTTGTTATGGAATACTCTTGGTAATCAAATATCTATATTAGGGTTCTTTATGTTGGTGTAGTTTGTAAATGAATAGAGAAAATATGTTTATCCTACATTGAAAAGAAATACTCCCTCCTAATATTTCTAAGTGTAGATTTCTATTGTGTAGTAAATTAAGTCATGGTAGACAAACTCTCCTATTTGACTTTCTAATATTATTATATGGATATTGAAAATATCAAAAGATAGTGTTTGGAACTTAATATGAATAGTTATACTGTTTCATGCATAGTCATATTGTTTGATAAATAATCATATTATTTCATCAACAATCATGTTGTTTGATGAATAACCATAGTATTTCATCAATAGTCATATTGTTTAATGAACAGTCATATTGTTTAATGAACAGTCATATTATTTCATCAATGGTTATATTGTTTGATGAACAATCATACTGTTTCATCGTTATGTTTTAAGTCTATAAAAGCATGTTACTACATAGAAAAGAAACACAACAAAATACATATATTCTTTTCTTGGTCTTATCTTCTTATTTTTTAGAGGTTTAGAGGGTTTAGTTGTATTCTAGAGGTGTTGTCTCTGTGTGGGACAAATAAACACTTTAAAGATAGTGTTTTCACGCCTCTAAACCAGCTCTATATTTGTTTCCATTCTAAACTTTCCTAACAATAAGAGTTTTGATAGTATTATATGTGTAGTATCTTTTATTTTACAATAAAAGTTTTGGTTTAATCTGTGAACACTATTAACTTTAGTAGGATTCAAGTTCTAATACTAATTGAAAGTTTAAATTGCAAAATACCTTCTTGTAAGCATAAGTCTGTCAAGTGAAAAGACCTTTATTACAAACTAGTGGGGAATTGTTGCTGTAGTTTGTAAATAAATAAATAAAAGATGTTTATCCCATATTGGAAAGAAACACTCCCTACTAATGTTTCTAAGTATAGGTTTCTATTGTGTAGTAAATTAAGTCATGGTGGACAAACTCTCCTATTTGGCTTCCTAATATTATCTTCATTTCTACATCATAAGGCAGAAAGTTACAGTTAATACCTCTATATATCATCAAACACTAATAATGCTATGTTGATATTTCTATAAAGAATAAGGCTTTTAAAATGTTCTAGAAGTTTTTTATCTTGATTTAATTATTGAATTAGAAATTATGGTATGATTTTGTTATATGTATCATTTGATATACTTGACTTATTTTTAGATAAGATTTTTGTTATGTGATCCACGTCAAAAACACATGCAAAGATTTAGAGCAATTGCAATTCTTGATTTTATTCATTTCAAAAGTTCCCTCCTTACTTTTTAAAAAGAGCTCGTGTGGAAGTGTGATAGTTTTTATTTTCATGTATTTTTTAAAAGCATGTTTATCTTTAAAAACATCAAATTGATATATTTTTAATGTTTTTTTCAATAATTTTGATGTGCTATTATAAAATAAAAAAATCTTTAAAAACATTATTTTGATATATTTTCAAGAAAAAGATATTTTTAAAAAATATTTTATATCACAATATTAAACATGTGCTAAATACGATGTCGGGTTATTTTTATTTTTTCTCAACCTAGATTGTTTAATACAGAATTAATTCAAGTTTAAAGTCATTTGAGTCACTAGTTAACCTATTAGGTTAATTCAAGTTTTATAAATATAATTTGTTTTTCAAATTTGTCTACACTTTTAAAAGGTGTTTGAGATTGTGGTTGTTTTTTTAAATTGAATTTTTTTTATTTCAAATTAATATTTTTATATATTTTTGAATAGTTTTGATATATTATTTTAAAAAAAATATTATCTAAATATTGTTGTTTTTAAATAAAAATAACTGTAAAACATAACATAACTTTTATTACAACAAATATTAAAAAAGATTAGTGTTTCACTATTCACCTAGACATATATTATTTTGGATTGGAGTAGTATAATAACAAAATTATTTTTTCCAAAGAAACTTGCTAAGCATGAAATGGGGGCATTATTATCTTTTCAATGAGATACATTTGACATTGAAAGAATGATTGAAGATAAAATGATTTATTCGAGTTTTTTGAACTACAATATAGATATTAATTTTTCTTTTAGGGCATAAAATTTTAACCTTTGAATTAAAGGCTTCTTTTGTTTTTTATTTTTTAAAATAAATAGTGAAGATATATCTATGCCCCTGAAAAGGGAGGAAATATGCATATGTTAAGGGTCTTCATCATCTTTTCCTTTTATTGAAACAATTCAAATACGAAGTTATCCTTGAGTTTCAACAAAAGCAAGACTGCATGTAGGGTTTTTTTTTTTCGTTTTCATATGGCTGTCAGACTCAAACACCTTAAGTCTAACAGCTAAACACTAGGGTTTGACATAATTGTCATACCAAAAATGTTGGGGTTTGATATAACTGTCAGACCTAGGGGTGAGTAAAAAAACTGATAAATCGATTAAACCGGAAAAACAAAAAAAAATAATTGAAAAAACTAAACTGAGAAAAACCAAAATAACCAATTAAAAAATCACAAAAAAATTCATGTTTGGTTTGATTTTGGTTTTTAAAGTCTGAAATCGATTGAATCGAACCAAACCGGTTCAACCATACCAGCACTTAAAAAAAGAGCAAGTATAGATAGAAAAAACCCTAGACCTAAACTAACTTTCAGCAGATACCGCTCCCCATCATCTTCTCATAACCCCCTTTCTTTCCCTCTCATTATCCCCCTCTCTTTTCTGTGCATCTCATCATCTTTTCATAGTCCTCTCTTTTTTTCTCTTCTTTTCTCTTTGCTTCTCATCTCTCCCCGTAACCCTCCTTTCTCTCTATCTCACATCTCTTTAAGTTCACTCCTGCATCAACATTTACTTTAATCAAACTACAAGGGAAAATGAAAAAAAAATGACTTTTTGATGATTAAGATTCTAACTCCATTTCAAACTCATCTCTGCATCTTGTGGGTTTTTGTTTTTTCATTATTATGTTATAATTTGCTTGGAGTTTGTGGGCATATTTGTTTTCTTGAACAATAGAAACCGAGATTTGTTTGTAGTTTGTAGGCACATGGTAGATATGTTTTCCTAAACAACAGAAACCTAGATTTGCTTGTAGTTTGTGGGTACTGCGTATTGAGATTTGCTTTCAATTTTACCAGTTTTTTAACAACAAAAACCAAACCCAACCGAATCGAAATCAGTTGGTTTGAATTGATTTTGGTTTTAAAATATTAAAATTAATAATGTTGGTTTACTTAATTTTTTTATGTAAAAACGGAACCGAACCGAAAATGATCACCCCTAATCAAACTTGAGATGCTTAGATCTTGCTGCTAAAACGAAGCACCTTAAGTTTGGAATTGTTGCTATACTCAAGGCGTTGGGTGCATGTTGGAGTGTTTTTATTGTTTTCATATGGCTACCAAATCTTAATGCCTAACTATCATATCTAAAAACCTTTGGTTTGGTCTTGGATCTGGTAGGGGCACTATATTTAGACGTCATGAGTTTGGCAAAGATGTCGGACTCACAATCCTTATTATGACATTGGTGCCAAACATAGGCATCTAGGGTGTGATATTTGTGTTAGATCCAAGACACCTTGAGTCTCAAATAACTATCAGACTAAAATATTTTAAATTTGATATGGAATCAAACCTAGAATGCTTGAATATAATAAAATTATTAAGTCTTAGGTATTAGGATATGATAATACCTTATCATGTCTCAAGTTTATCTCATGCTAAACTTAAAACATTTAGATACAATAATATTTTAAGATTTAAGAGTTTTTGGTTTGATTGTGTTACGAAACTCGAGCATCTAAAACCTAACGAGTATGCTAGATTTGATAAACGTGAATATGATATCCTTGTTAAATCCAAACCCAAACGCTAGAATTAATCATTTTTGTTTGACATTGGTGCTGTTTAAAAGTATAAGCGTCTGACATAATTTTAAATATTAAAATATTAATAAATATAACTTTTAATTACTATTAAAATAATAATTTATATTATTTACCAATCGATCTGGAAACAAGGCACATGCCATCTTTATAGTCATATTCAAAAACACATGGTTACTAGGGACTGATTTGTGGAGGTTGCTTCTAGATGAAGCGAGTCCTTGAAATTGTATGGTAATATCACCTTACTGTTGCTAATCTATAACAATCATGTTGCTACCTTTGGCTCTCCTTGGGCCCTAACCTCTCCTCTTTCTCTGCAAGAAACTTCACCATTTTTTTTGTTATGGAGAAATCAGAAGGATCCATTGTTGAAACAAGAAAGGAACTTATGGTTTCACTCTCTGGCGATGCACAGCCAACACTTAGAACAGCCCATTTTATCAAACCCTCAATTACCTCCTCCATTGATGAAAACACTCCCAAACACCCTTCACACTACAACTCATTGCCCTCTAAATTTGAACCCAAAAGGTGGCCTTTAAGAATCACATTCCATGGGTGGAGATATCCTCAAAGGAAGTGGAAAGAATGGGTTGATAAAATGGCTGCTTTGCATGAAACAACATGGAGAAAAGTTGGAATCTATCAAGCAGTCATGAGTTCTCTTTACCAAATCGGAAGAAACGATGATTTGCTTCTTGGGTTAGCAGAGAAATGGTGTTTCGAAACGAACACATTCATTTTTCCTTGGGGTGAAGCAACAATCACCTTGGAAGATATTTTGGTTGCAGGGTACTCTGTGTTGGGGTCCTCTGTTTTTAGCCCTCCTGAAACAGAGGAATTGAAAGAAGCTGAACAAAAGCTAATGGAAATCAGAAAACACTTGAGGCAGTCTAAAGCAAAAAAAGTGAACCACCATTCCTGGATTAAATATGTCATGGAAAACAACAGCGAAGTCGAGCACGAGGCTTTTCTATCACTATGGTTGTCAAGGTTTGTTTTTCCTAGTCTACCATTTATGGGAATTTCCATACATCTTTATCCAATTGCTGTTTGTCTAGCTAGAGGTATCAAAATTGCACTTGGACCTGCCCTTCTTGCAAGCATTTACCGAGACTTGAGGTTGTTGAAGAAAACGATTCTAGCTTTGTCCAATTTAGAGTATTTTGAGGATGACAATGATGATCAAAAGTTAGAACTCACCATTTGGTCACCATTTCATATAGTTCAGGTTTGGGCCTGGGAGAGGTTTACAAAATTGCAACCAAAGCCTAATGTGACTGACTTTGAAGTGCCGAGATTAGCTAGATGGCATAATGTGAATAGTTCAACCGTTAGGAATGTAAGTTTGGCCCTAGATTCTGAAGGAAGTTTCCAGTGGCGCCCTTATGCCACAGCCGTGGTGAGTTTGTGTTACAAAATTTATGGTGATGAAGAGAAGTGGGTGCTTGTTGATGTTGATGAGGAATCGAAGTCCTTTACTCGATGCTTGAGAGCATGTGAATTAGTTGGAATAGGGTGTGTAGAACAGTACAGCCCGCATCGAGTGGCAATGCAGTTTGGCATGGATCAGGATCTTCCAGGTCCTGTAAAGAGAAGAAATGAAACTCAAGAACTTTCCTGGAAGTGTTTTGATAAGCAAATCAAGAATGCAATGCTATATATTCCATCAAGACATCGTAAGCCAGATGTTACTTTGAGATACTTGGAATGGTGGAAGCAATCAGTG